GACCCCAGCGGTGGCGCCCGCACCGCTCGCGCCCAGGCCGCGGCTCTCCGTGCTCTTGGGGAAGGGCTTGATGACGGCCGTCTGGTTGGGATTCTCTTTCTTGTTGATGTGGATGGACAGTCGCTGCCACAGGTGCTGCCCCCGACTGCTCCTCTCATTCTGGGCCCACGTGACGGATTTTCCGTTGGAGCTGTGGAGAGATGAAAGACAGGTGACTGAGCCAGGTCATGGGCTGGCTTTCCCAATGGTGGGTGGTTATATAGGGTTTAGAATGGGAAAGACTCTCCTTGTTCTCTCAGGAAATAAGGTATCAAGAGGACACCACGGAAAGATATCTTGGAAATGGCTTTTGTTTTGAGTTAAAGGATGCTTTCATGTAACTGGCCTTCCATTGATCATTTCCAGGAAAGTGTGTCAAGGAGATATTAGTAAGGATGAAGGAGTATTTATGGAGTTTCCGCAGTAGTTCTGAGCCCATCCAATAGTGTAACATACGGTTATACTGAAAATATAGAAACAGGGGCTTGCAGTATTGTGGTTGTGTGCAGAAATGTCTGAAAGAAAACGTTAGAAGTAGGACCTCAACATACCAATCCAGTCATCAAAGGGGAGAGGTGGGGTGAGAGTCAAGGGTTACCAGGAAGTAGACAGTGTTTCCAGTTCAGTTTTTATTCTGCAGCCAATGGTTGGTGTATTTAACTAGGGATTTCTGTCTGAACTCTTGACTTTGAAGATGCTTTTACTTAGTCTGGTTTATCTGCTGGAAAATACAAATTCAGTGAACATATAGGAATTTCTAATTAGAACGTTTCTATTTCACAGAAAATGTCCTCACACATTCATTTTTAGACCTTAAACTTGAAATAACAATTCTATGAGGGAGCATGCTGTATATTTCCTTTGGCATCTAGCATATTGCTTTCAAATTAGGGTCTTGATGAGTGTTTTCTGACTGACATGATTTCTAAGGGCCTTCTTTCTCTTCCATTTCCTAACTAGTCCTTTCGGTTCCACTCTAGGATCTGAAAGCTGCTCAGTTGAAGATGCAATTGGCGCCTCAGCCTCAGAGACTGACTATACCATCCTTATTGCAAAAAATGACACAACAGCCTCTGAAGCTACAGACCCTCTATCAGGAACCTCATGGGTGGTCAGAGGAGGATGTGGCCTGACCTTCAGGGATGGCATATGGGGAGATCCTGGTGCAATTTCTCATCACAAAGAAGTCTGAGATCTCTGTAACTAGGGATCCGTTATGTCCAGACAGCTGTGTTCTAGGTGCTGTGACCAAGAGATAGCCTTAGTCAGTCTATGGACAAAAGGCTTTGGCTATCCAATTTTATCTTCTCAGCAAGTGATTATTAAACTTAATCATGCATAACATTCATCTAGGGCATTTTCAAATTTCCCAGGTAGGACTCCAAGAGATTCTGATTGGCTGGATTGGGTTCCAAGGATCCATGTATTTTACAAGCACTGTGCCCCCTGCTCTCCTAAGGGATTTTGCAGCAGGTATTTCACAAACAGAAACTCCAACAGGAAGCTATCCTTTCTCTTTGGGTTCCGGTTGCTGCCTTGGTCTCCTGGAGGAGGCCAAGCTAGAGGGCTGACCTGCCTTTGCCAGGTAAGGGACTGAATTGTATTTGTAGCCCACCTGCTTTGGGATGCCTGACTGCAACTGCCAGATCCACTCTGCCTGAGATACCCACTCCCTTGATAACAGACCACTGTTTCCATAGCCCCTATAGCAAAATGCTTCCTGCCTCTTTCCCCTGTTTCTTCTCATTTCTTCATCTGTCCTTTTCCACTTTGGGGTCTTACTTTCTCTGCTTCTTCCTTTGAACTCTCATTCCATTTAATCTACACAATACTTTGCAACCTGGTGTCCTTCAGAATTCTGGAATGTGAGATGTCTCTTACCTTCACCTCTCTTTCTGGAAGGGATGGACAGATTATTTCCAGGTTTGAAGGTTGCTATGCATCCCCAGCAGCAGAAAGGGCCCTGCCAACATGTTAACTTCTGTTTCCAGGAGAGTTTCAGGGTTTATTTTTACATTTTGCATTAACCTGACCTGCCACCTTTTGTATTTTTAGTGCATTACTTTTTTTCTTCCCAGGTGTTCACTAACTCTTGGAAATGGCACAGAAGAAATGGGCCAGATTATTTATGGGATTTGACTGAGAGGATGGTTGCCAACAACTCCCCTTTCTTCCCTACCAGTAGGATAAGAAACAGACATGTCGGGAGGGACAATTAGTCTTTCAGGTCTCTGAGGCAATTTTTAATACAAAGCATGGACTAGAAACTAGAAGTACAACTGGTTTTATTCTCCAAGTTTTACTCTAGGGAAGTTCTTGCTCCCAGAACAGAAAGGTTTTGATGGAACATAACTTTGGGTAATAACACTGAGTCTTTGGATTCACATGTAGCCCATGCCCCAAAACATGATAGCAATTTGAAAAAACTTTTGGATGAATATGTGAGAAGGAAGCTATCCTAGCCAACCAATCTGCATAAAATCTTTGCTCACAGTGTCCATGGTCATGTGGAAGAGAAAGCACCAGACCATCTGAGTAACAACAGACACGGACACCAAAGACCCAGAGAAATGGAGTCCAAATATGAGCACTTCATTTCATTTCTTGGGTAATAAAAGATTTTTGTTTTTCTACAAAGTAAATGGAAACTCTTTAAGGAAAAAAAATTGACTTACGACATTAGTCTGTTTATTAGTGGAATATAGTTTCCATGAAGACAGGGGCTTTATCTCTCTTGTTCATTGACCAGCAGGGTCTTAATAAGCATTTGACAGGTGAATAGGATTCTTAAGATAACAGGGCCTTTGTATGTGTCCTGGAAGGTGCAATGGACAAAGGATTCTAAAATCTGGGTCCAGTTCTGGATCTGCCATCCTGGATGCTTGGAAAATAATAATCTTGTTAAACCTTGGTAAAAAAAACAGACAGTATAATCATTTGGTGAAGATCGTTGTGAGGATTTAGGTCAAAGGGTTTGGTAAGGAGAAGGTACCAAAGGATTAGTTTATGCATGCTATGGGAATACTACATTTCAGAAAATAAAAACAATACTCAGTGCTATTTTTGAGCTCAAGTTTGTGGAACAGAGAATTCAGTGCAAAGTAAAATATATGGTAAAGCCATAATATTTCTGGTTGTTTCTCCTTAACCTGGCCAGTTATAACAAAAATTGGAGTTCCATAGGGTTTGATCTGTGGCCTGTCTTTTCTCTACCTGCGTCATATCCTTCTTGGGTGATCACATCTACTCCAGTAAATTTCACATACCTCTTCTACATTTTGCTTCTTTCTGAAATGCTCTTTCATTGTGATCTGTCCTCTCTGCATTTTCTCCTTTTAGCTTAAGCACTTCCAATCATTTTTTTTTTCTGTTTCGCCTTAATTGCCTTTTTTTGAGGGATGCTTTCTTGACCCGCCTCCTGACTAGATTAGGTTCCCATAGTCCTTGCATTAGGCACTTAAAAACTCTTTGCTGTGTGTGCATCTCATTGCTGATAGAGTATTATGAAGGCACAGATAGAGAGGGTTCTTTGTTGCCTGTTATATCCATAGTACCCAGTGCATTGTTTAGAATACAGTAGGTGCTCAATAATATTTTGGGTCAAATAGTTGAATGTATAAATGCATTTCATTTAAAACATTTTATATTGAATTGTTTTCCTATTAGAATTAAACTTTAAGAGTAATTCAGTGTTAATGAAGTTCTTTTTGTCTTATGGATCTATTTTTTGTATAACTCACTGTATGAAATAGTACTCAGTGTATACGGATAAAAGATATTTCATTAGCTAAGTATGAAAATCACAAAAGAAGTGTTTACTGCTTTTTTTGTAATTTATATATAAATTA